ATAGAAGATAGAAGAATTGTATTTTGTTTTACTTAATTATCTTCTGAGAATTGTACATCATATAAATAGAGTTTACAAGGAAAATAGGATAATTACAAAATATACAAAGTTAATATTTATCCCTAAGATTAAGGGAAAACTAAGCTAACAATATTTACATGGATAATAATAGCTGCGAAGATAACGCCGATCATATAACAACGAGATGATCAAGATCATTATCCAACATGCCCCCTCAAAACGGACTGTGATGGGAATGACAGACCGATTTTGCTTGTTAGTGTAGTAAATGTGAGCTTAGGCAGTGGCTTTGTAAGAGCATCAGCTAGTTGGTCGTTTGTTGATATGTAGGCAACCCGTAGCTTTACCAGCTTGCACATTTTCACGCACGAAGTGGTAGTCCAACGCAAGGTGTTTCATACGTGAGTGAAAGACAGGATTTGCACTTACGTAAGTCGCTCCAGCGTTGTCACAATAGATGACTGGAGTAGTTGACAGAGAATAGCGCAATTCATGTAGCAAATTTTGTATCCAGAGAAGCTCGGCGGAGACAGCAGCAACAGCCCTGTATTCGGCTTCGGTGGAAGACTTTGCTCTTGTCTTCTGCTTTCGAGATGACCATGAGATGGCATTTTTGCCAATGTATACTATGTAAGCAGTTGTTGAGATGAAATCGTCCGTGTCTCTTGCCCAATCAGCATCAGAGTATGCATGAAGAGACATTGGGGTAGACTTATGGATGGTAAGACCCATAGCAGAGGTGCCCTTAAGATAGCGTAGAAGTCTGTTGAGGCATTGCATATGAAAATCAGTAGGTTGTTGCATATATTGCGCTAGTTTGTTTACAGCAAAAGCTACGTCTGGGCGGGTTAGACTGAGATATTGTAAGCTACCAATAAGGGCTCGATAGTGAGTAGGGTCGGAGAGAGGAGTGCCCGTTTTTGTCAATGGTGGGTGAACAGCAAGGGGCGTGGGTGTTGGCTTTGCTTCATCCATTTTTGCACGGCATAAAATGTCGTTGATGTAGCGTTGTTGACTTAGAAATAGACCTTGGCTATGAGACGTTACCTCAACCCCTAAGAAATAGGAGAGTGTACCAAGATCCTTGAGGGAGAAGCGGTTTGAGAGTTGAGAGATAAATACGTCTAGATAGTCAGGCATATTTGATGTGATGATAATATCATCAACATATACCAAGAGATACACGGTTATGTTGTCTGCAAATAGAGTAAAGAGAGAAGGATCAGAGATGGTGTTGCGGAAGCCAAGTTGAAGAAGATGGTGACGAAGCTCAGTGTACCAAGCTCTGGGAGCCTGTTTTAAACCGTATAGAGCTTTATGTAATTTGCAAACATGGGTGGGATATTGAGGGTTTACATACCCGGGGGGTTGGACGGTGAAAACATCATCGGTTAGTGTGCCTTGAAGGAAGGCGTTGTTGATGTCTAGTTGGCGTAGGGGCCAACCGTTTGTGACTGCAATGGTGAGAACTAGTCTGACTGTGGTAGGCTTGATCACGGGACTAAATGTTTCCCCATAGTCAATGCCTACACGTTGGGTGAAACCACGAGCTACTAGGCGAGCCTTGTATTGTGTGATGTCACCGTTTTTATTTTTCTTGATACGAAAAACCCATTTGCAACCCACAACATTTTGGGAAGCAGAAGAGGGAACAAGAGTCCATGTGTTGTTGTTTTGAAGAGCATTGATTTCGGCTTCCATAGCTTTTCTCCACACGGGACTCTTAAGGGCTTGGGTGATGTTTTTGGGTAGGGTAGTGTCATGAGCTTCGACGTTGAGGTTTAATTTGTTTATGGGCTTGCGGATACCATGTTGGAGGCGAGTGATTATTTGAGGGGAGGTAGGAGAGGGTTGCGGGGAAGGTGATGAGGAGGTTGGTGAGGATAAGGAAGGATGGGAGCATGGCGAAGGAGTAGGTGATGTAGGGGATGTGGTGATTGGCGAAGTAGGTGCCATAGGAGGATTAGGTAAGGGAGTAGGAGTGGGCGTGTGTAGGGAGTGGATGACTAAGGGAGCCCATTGTTCAAGTAGTTCATTGTTGGATGTGCATGGGGATGTCGTTAGTGATTTGTAAGGGAATATAGACTCAAGAAATTGGACATGCCGTGATGTGTAGATACGCATGGTTGATGGATCAAGACAGTAATATGCGCTTTGAGAGGGAGAATAACCTATGAAGACACATGGTTTGGATTTTGGGTCTAGTTTGTGGGTGGTATATGGTTTAAGCCAAGGATAACATAGACACCCAAAACTACGAAGTTTGGTGTAGTTTGGGTTCGAACCAAAAAGTTTGAAATAGGGAGAGACGTTGTTTAGAGTAGGTGTGGGAAGTCGGTTTATGAGATAGGCGGCTGTAGAAGCGGCATTGGACCAGAAATCAAGAGGCATGTTTGCATGAGAGAGTAGAGATAGGAATGTTTCGACTATATGTCTATGTCGACGTTCAGAATAGCCATTATGTTCGGGTGTATGCGGAGGAGTGGTGAGATGAGAGACACCATCAATGGTAAGATGATGTTGTAGAGTTAGGTATTCTGTTCCATTGTCCGAATAAAGGGTTTTGAGTGGGAGTTGAAAATATTTTTCTACAAGTGCTTTGTAGCGGAGGAAAACAGACTTAGTATCCGATTTTTGTTTTAAGTTGTATAGCCAAATGTATTTGGAATAATGATCAACAAAGATTAAATAATACTTGTAATTGTCATGGGAGTAAACAGGAGAGGTCCACAAATCAGTGTAGACATATTCAAGAGGAGCATAAGATTGAATAGAAGAGATAGAGAAAGGAAGTTTGTGACTCTTATTACAGGCACATGAATTACAGTCTAAAACGGAAATTGAAGAGACATTTAATTTATTTTGCAAAATAATATGCTTAAAAATAGCCCTAGATGGATGACCTAAACGATGATGCCAATCAATGGAAGACGATGTGCTTGTGAAAACTGATGGAGTCGAGGTGGAAAGCTCATAGATGCCTCGACTAGGTGTCCCTTGAAATAACACTCTCTCCGTTGAAGGGTCCTTCAGGTGAAAAGAGTTAGATTCAAAAGAAATAGATATATTGTTATCACAACAAAGCTGAGAAATAGAAATGATATTGTTGGTTATAGATGGAACAACTAGAACATTATTAAGTTTGAGATTGGAAATAGTGCAGGAGCCAATATGAGAAATATGAAGGCCCTTACCATCCCCGACGATTAATTCTTCAGTACCATCATAGGGTGCATGGAGGGAGAGATTAGTGAGATCATTAGTGACATGATGTGAGGCGCCACTGTCAAGGAGCCACGAGGAAGAGGAAGGAGACGATAGGTGAGTGTGGTGTGCTTGCGGCTTAGATGGAGGCCGAGGGGATTGTTGTGTGGGTGAGTGACGTAGTGGAGGTGGTGAGGCAGAGGGGAATTGTTGTGTAAAGACAGGACAACGAGCCACTACATGACCCTTTTCTCGACACCATTGGCATTTTCCTAGGAAAGGACGGGGAGTGGATGTATGGGAGGGTGTGGGAAGCAGACCATTGGACGGCTTGGGGAGGGACGATGCTGCGGCTTTGTATAGGCAGCAAAAGCGGTTGCAGGAAGGGCCGGGGCCATGGTAGATTGGGTTTGAAAGATGGAAAGCTCTTTGTTAATGAGTTTCTCGTGAAGCTCTTCAAAGGAGATAGGTGTGTCTCGGCCATTTACAGAGTCTATGACGGATTTGTATGAGTCATCAAGACCAGCGAGAACACGGTCTATGAAATCCTCATGGTCAATAGGCTTTCCTAGAGCAGCTAGATGATCAGCACACTCTTTTAGAGAGCGCATATAATCAGATATGGAGGAAGGGCCCTTAATAATACGGTGAAACTTATCCCGTAATTGTTTGATATGGCCACGGGAAGGAAGGGCATAGGTTTGATATAATTTGTCCCAAAGTTGTGCCGATGTTTTGGCTTGGTTGATAAGAGGAACTAGGTTGGGATCAATGGTACCGATTAAGGAGCCAAAAAGGAGACGATCTTGGCGAGTCCACCATGCAAAATCAGGGTTGGGGGATTCGACATCATTGGTGATGAGTGTAGGAGAAGGACATGGTGTGCTTCCATCAAGGAAAGAAAAGACGTCATGACCAACAAGCAATGCTTCAACTTGGAGTTTCCAAGAGAGGTAGTTGGTGGGAGTGAGCTTGAGGACATTGTGCATGTTAACGACAATGAAAGGTTTCATGGGGTTGGAGGGGTTTGACAACTGGGAAGAGGCTTCGGTGGTGGAGGGAGACATGGTGAGGCAGCGTAGAGGAGGTGGGCGTGGGGTTTGCTTGGTCGTCAGATCAAGAATCTGATACCATATAGAAGATAGAAGAATTGTATTTTGTTTTACTTAATTATCTTCTGAGAATTGTACATCATATAAATAGAGTTTACAAGGAAAATAGGATAATTACAAAATATACAAAGTTAATATTTATCCCTAAGATTAAGGGAAAACTAAGCTAACAATATTTACATGGATAATAATAGCTGCCGAAGATAACGCCGATCATATAACAACGAGATGATCAAGATCATTATCCAACACTTTTGGTTGGGATGATCCTCTAACAATAACTTCCTTTACATCTAAAGATGAGAGAGTAGCATAGTTTCAAAAAATGGATCGCATGATGAGTATACAAATGCATTCCCATCTTTATTTACATCTAAAGATGAGAGAGTAGCATAGTTTCAAAAAATGGATCACAAGATGAGTATACAAATGCATTCCCATCTTTATTTACATCTAAAGATGAGAGAATAGCATAGTTTCAAAAAATGGATCACAAGATGAGTATACAAATGCATTTCCAAGGCCACGGTATTTTATTTTCAGCTTTTTAAATTTTCAAATTTAAATGTGGTTGCCTACCTTAGGTCATACTAGAGCTGATCATAAGTGGCCCGTCCCTATTTTGGATGGGATTTGAGCAGTTTTTTCTGGCCCGAAACCGGCCCTTTTTTTAATTTTATTTTAGTTTGGGCGGGCTTAGAAAGACATTTTTATGCGAAATTAGTTGATTTGTTTGGCTCGGCCCGAAAAGTCCGCATGGCCTAGCCATTTTGGATGGGTTTGGGAACAAACTTTTCGCCCCAGAGTTTGAACCTGTCCGACATACAGGATATTTTTTGGCCTAGTCCCAGCCCGATCTGCCCAATAATCACCTCTAGGTCATACAGGTTTGCTCCTAACTGTCTCTTGTGTGCTCACATAATTTTTATTTTTATTTTTTTGGTGCTAGTTTACATAAACCAATTAATTGCACAACACACTACGTAATAAGCTTGCAAGGGCATAATTACTTGTGATGAATGTTTCTTTTACTCGTATATTTCAGTTTGGATTCGAGTCCAATAATGAGTTAAAATTTGATTGTTAAAGTTTGAGTCAAATCCAATATGAATTTTCAAGAACTTCAATACAACCCAACTTAATTTAAAATTAGGTGTTTTGGATCTTATTCGAAATCCAAATTTTTTGATAATACCACTTCATCTATTTTATTTGGTATATGGGCCATAAAACTTATTTTCTAATAGAGATTTACGGGGAATATACACTACCTCCATTTCATATTATTATCAATTTTGAAGGTGACATGACACCTAGGCAAAATTTCATAATATCTTTTGTTGGTAAGGAGAACCCTGAGTAGACCTTTACCCTCGTGTTTTTTTTTTTTGGGAAATTATCAATAGTACACCCAAGGTTTGGGCCTTTATTGTACACCTGCTAAAATATTGTCTATCAGCGGTACATTCAAGGTTTTATACCATTATCAACCGTACACCTACCGTTAGACAAACGTTAAAAAAACGTTAGTTTTGGCTTTTTTAACTTAAAAACTGACACGTGGCGGCCTGTGATTGGTCCAAAAAAATAAAAATAAAATAAAATAAAATAAAATTTTAAAAAAAATTAGATTAATAAAATAAGATAATTTTTTTTTTAATTTTTAATAATTTTTTTTTAAACAACATATATATATATATATATATATATATATATTTCTTTTTTTTTCGACAGCCCACCCAGACATCCCAACCCCCTTGCCCCCGGTGCTGGCTAGCCAAACCCTCCTCGCCGGCTGCCGCCCCTCCCCTTTCTCGTAGCCACCATCCCCGAAACCACCTGACTCCCCCACAAAACCAACAACACCACCACCCTCCACCAATTCACGAACCCAGCAGCCGCCCTTATCACCGCTGCTCCATTTCAACACCCACCATCAGTGGCCGACAATTGTAGAAGTTGTCCACCATCCGACCATTTTCGACCACAAATAACATACCCAATAGCAACACCAAATCCCCTGCACCCAATCTCCACTTCACGCCACCACAATTCGCCACCCACCATCACCGTTCAATCCACACTTCGCGCCGGATTTGGTTACTTATAGCAGGAATTTATGGTGGTGGAAGGGAAGAGGAAAGAGAAAGGAAGGAGGAAAGAGAAGGGGAAGGGTGGTCAGAGGGGGTGGGATGTCTGGTTGGCTGCTGGAAGTTATGGAGGAGGAGGAAGGATGGAGGAAAGAGAAAGGAAGGAGGTAGGAAAAAAAAGGAAAAAAAATAAAATAATGTTGTTTAAAAAAAATTATCAAAATTAAAAATTAAAAAAATTATCTTATTTTATTAATCTAACTTTTTTTAAAATTTTATTTTATTTTATTTTATTTTTATTTTTTTGGACCAATCACAGGCCGCCACGTGTTAGTTTTAAAGTTAAAAAAGCCAAAACTAACGTTTTTTAAACGTTTGTCTAACGGTAGGTGTACGGCTGATAATGGTATAAAACCTTGAATGTACCTCTGATAAACAATAGTTTAGCAGGTGTACTATTGATAAAGGCCCAAACCTTGGGTGTACTATTGATAATTTCCCTTTTTTTTGTCCAATATTTGCAAGCTAGGCACTTGGGATTAAAGGAGAGGGTAAAGCCTAAGGGAATGTTCTTTAAGGTCATTTTGCATAGTTAATAAGTGATTAGTAATTTCTTTTTTTTAAAAAAAACACAGTGACTAGTAATTAATAATTAATGTTCTTCAAAGTCATTTTACATAGTTACAACTAACAGTTATCAGCTGATTTTATCAAACAAATTTATATATAACCAATAGTCAAACAACTAGTACAAACCAACAACCAATTGTCAAGCAAGGAGTTTGCATCTTTTTTTTTTTTTTTTTTGTTTTTTTTTTTTTTGAGGAAAGGAGTTTGCATCTCACAACCAAGAGGTTGTGGGATCAAATCCTACTTGCACTATAGAGTGAAGATTCTCTTACCCTTCACCCCCACTTCCAAAGTGCCTAACTCGCTAACCCAGGATGGGAGGACTTGCAAAGGTTCCAACCCGGTAGGACCATTCTCCTTACCAACTAAAAATAAAAAAAATAAAAAAAAAAAAGGCCAAACAAGGCATATATCAAATACGAAACATTATGAAACAAAGGGTGTATTGTTATAAAATAAGGAGCAACATGATAGAGATTGTGAGAGAATCGATCAGTATATTTCAATTCCATATGACGGGGGTGTATATATATATATATATATATATATATATATATATATATATATATATATATATATATATATATATATATATATATATATAATATAATTAGGGTTTGGTTGGATAAGAATATAAACCCTAGATTTATCTAGAATATTCTGGAATGATACAACATACAAGGAGTATAATGAGCATCCACACAATATTTCATAACACTCCCCCTTGGATGTCCATTATCGAAAATTGTGCCTCATTAAAACCTTATTAGGAAAAACCCTGTGGGATAAAAACCTAATGAAGGAAAAAGAGTACAACATTCTTCATAATACGTTCGATATGCTGCCTCATTAAAAACCTTACCAGGAAAACCCAATGTGGGATAAAACCATGGTCGAGGGAAAAAGAGTGTAGCGCGTATTTTCTCCCCCTGATGAATACATTACTTGAGATATACTAGTGTCACAGCAATGAATCCATTATGTTGGATATCTTCTCATATGTAGTAAAATATCACTCGTTGATCTTTGATCCTCCTAAACTGAAATTGCATCTTCAAGTCTTCACGCGAACATCTGAAGTGTCTTCATTTCACCATACATGTGTTTATCTCTAGTATCATTATTTCAAATCTCTGTTTAATAGTTGATTTAAAGGTTAAACTTATGCAGTTATGACTTCTTCTGAAAGTCATTAATAATAAATATCGATGATCATTATTTGATCAAACATTCATTAATAATAATTTGATGACAAAACTTGATATTATTAATGTCGTTCTTTAATCTCACATGAATTATAATATAACACATGTAATTATATACGCTAATCATGGTTCTTCTGGACCATAAGAAAACATTCTCATGTATAATTATTCCATTGATATTCTTTAGACGTTTCATAATTGACATGATAGCCTCTTGCAAATACAAATAGTAAATCTCATTAACTCTCATATGCTCAAACTTCAGATTGAGATGTAAATGATGTAGTTACATAGACTTTTCAAGAATTTGATAATAATTGCAATATTCAAGATATAAACTTTGTAGGTAAATACATCGTATATAAGTTCTTTAGGAACTCTTCTTACATGATTCACAACGTGCAATTAAATCAGTGTCATCAATAATTTCATCACAATTATAAGCCCATTGGAATATAAATATCTCTTTCTAATTTTTCATCAAAGTTTAAAGTTGTAAATATGTCTTACTATACTTTGAATGAACATTCACATACCACAGTTATTGTAAGAAACTAATGCATGCAATATGAGATATAGAAAACATGATAACATATTAAACAAAATGTACAATGAGTAATGGGTCTAACAACTTCCTACATATGCAATAAATAATCCATTAACCTATAACTCACACATGCACATGAACATAAGACTCAAAATGATGCAAGACACTGTACAGTGTGGATTTTAAAATCCATATTTCATTGGACTTCTGGTCCATAATAAACTTTTGATCATTTTATGTCGACATCAAGATGTACATATATTTCAGATCCCTTATTCACTAGATAGTTCATTCTATCATGCATATGCATATTATTTATCGGTTCCATAGTAATCCGGTATTATAAAATTCAGTAAGACATGATTTCGCATGCTAATTTACTATGATATCTGAATACATCTCCAA